TGCCTTCATGACTGCCCACTCCAAATTGCAGAGCCAAAGTGAAGAAGGTTGGTCATGACTGAGTTGGGAATTGAAGTGAACTCCCAAACGAAGAAAAAACTGCATGGGGATAATAAATTATTTCTACAACTTCATGGGAAACTCCACCCAAGCAGCTTCTTGAAGAAGTAAGCAGGTACACTGGACACGGGAAGAGGCAAGAATCTGCCAGTCATCCACATAATAGTGAGTCCAAAGAGTGTACCACTCGACAAAACACGTACGGAGCTGAAAAAAGACCAAATGACAGCACCTGGAACTGGAAGAACCCTTGTGGACAAACCAAAGAAAATGATGTGACACTGGAGCAATTGGAATATGAAGATAGGCATCCATCACAAAGATTTTGGTCAATCAAAGTTCCATGTAAAAAGAAAACCCTGGAGTGAGAAGTAGGACTCCATGGTGAAGCGATGGGTCTCCAGATAAGTATACAGCGGGATAAATCTATGATGGGTCTCCAATCTCCCGTCGTTTTGTTTTGGAGACAACAAATAGACGGGAGTAAAATCCCGGTTGATTAGGCACCACCAGTCTGATAGCTCCTTTGTGTAGGAGGTCTCTAACAGACTCAGCACAGCAAGATAACTGGAGGAGGTATTATCCCGAATAGAAGGGAAGGAGCAGAACTGAAGGCAGAAACCTTTAGATAGAACCCATAGAACTGTTGTGAAGTGTAGCCAAGAAGACATAAACTAAACATACATAGAAAAAGTACTCATTACAATAAACTAACAAAACCTAGAAATTTGTAGGCTACAAAGTACATAAAAACAACAAACCTGCAAACTATCAAATTCAACCTAAAACAATAAGCAACACCTAAAATATAAAACCACTAAATGAACTTAGAAAATAAAAGACATAAATATCGAAGTAATAAGTCCACTCAAAGAACTGATAAGACTATGGACACAAAAGCAAAACCTATCATGAAGAACATCAGAATAAAAAGGCACCCAGTTAACAATAACAAATGTTGACTCAAATCTAATCCCCAATTAGATGTGAGTAGTAGTAATGAAAAAGGAACTTACAAACAAATTAAGAAACAGTAAAAAGAAGTATAAATAATGAACCAAAACACCCACACAATTGGCCGAAGTTACAATTACCCAAACAATAACTATCATACAAAACCCATACATATACCACAAATGAAACAAAAAGTAATACACAAACTCTAAATGCAAAGTTAAACTAAAGTATCTGAAATGGTAAAAGAATTATAAAAATCCAACTTACCAAATATTGTGCAAAGAAGACATGAAAGACCTAAATTATCACATGCAAAAATTGGGTCCATCCACACAAGCCCACATAAACTTGCTAAACATGGGTATACCAACTAGAACTGAAGAATACACATTGAAAACTTAACACAGATCTCCTGGGAAAAAGAACAATACTTAACCCAGTCAATGGAGGTGCGGTAACAGGTGGAAAGTGCCGTAGAAAGAAATTTCCACCCAGTAATTATATCCTTCCTCACAAAATATCGTTACGTGAAAGGAAGCAATTGTCGGCTGAACATAAGACACAAACTCCCCATGAATTAAAGCCTTTGTTTTCCAAGCAGATATCATCGACCCCGAGACCTGGGGACTCATGTCACAACCACTGTCTACTATCATGAGAAGTTCATCATCCACCATATTAAATCTCGAATTCATATGAACAAGTTAGAAATTGGAAAAATGGAAATATTTCTAAAACAAATGAGTAGAAACAATGGAAATCAAGATTTCGAAACTGGAAGTTGAAACTGATATAAATTAGTGATCAATTTTTGTAGCAACATGGAGAGGGAGTTAAAACACATATCTATTAGGGTGCATCAAAAATTTAAATTTCTTATATCATTATTGGCAGGGTAAGTGATTGGTACATGTTAATAGTAGTTATTATGTGGGTAAGTTTCAGGTTTCTAAAATTATATCTTGTGCTGCTGCATGAGGGAGTTATCTTCCTTAAAATATCCATAATCAAAGTGTATGAGAAACCAAAGTACCATAACTTTGGGTATCCTAAATTACCCAGTTGCATGTCAAGTTCCACCCATGCCCACCCAACCACTCTTCCTCTGGGCAATAGAATTACTGAATTATGTAATGTTTCTTAGCATTAAATGTTTTCATGATTTTGCAAAATTGAAGTTTTGCTTTAATGAATCCCTTTCTTCTGCAATAGCCACAAACAGCTACTGAAGCTTCTGTTAGTACTTTAACATGTCTTTCAATTGCTTCAGTGTGACATAGTATGCTGAGCTTGAAAACTGGTGTGTCATCTTGATTAATGAAAGACACCAACTGTTCATTGCTTATATTTTTGTATGTGGTGGCTCTACTATCAGTCCACATTATTAGATCAGAGTAATGTTGAGCTTCTATATTAATATTTGGAACCATAAACTGTCTCATTGTGCTAGAATTTGAGGTAGATCGAGCAGCTAATATTCTGCGAAGAGCAAGTTGTCTGATAGCCTTAAAATCATCTCTAAGCATTGCAAGCAGCGAATTTTCCAGGTGGCAAAATATGCATTTCTCTGCATTACTCTATCCACCACATATTTCTCTAATTCAGAAAGAAAACATGATTTTCTTACAAGAAGAAGAAAGTGCAGTGAGCCATGTCTGCATGAGGGATTTTTCTTGCTATTAAACCAAACTGTTGCATACACTTCAATTACATATCTCACTAACAAACTAAGCTTCTTGGATGGGTTAGCAGTTGCAACGTAAAGGTGCAAAATCCTGTTTGCTGTTGTTAACCAGCCAACTAGCAATTACAAAATAAAACTTTCAACCAAGTAAATCTGATGTACCCTAATGTCTATACATTAAAATGCCAATTGAGGAAGTGAGAATTGTGCTAGAATAGTAAAGGGAGCTACCTGCACTAGTACAGATGGCACAGTATGATTGGTGTAGTCACATGATCAGCACATGTTCTGATATGGCACAGAAATGAAGGGGTATAAAAGACTGGTGCACTGTTAGCAGTAAACGTTTCAGCAATGCTTAGAGGGCAAACCAAGGTTGAGACAGCTTTGGGTGAGTTGAGGTAGTATCTAATCAGAATAATAGATATAATGATATGTGTAAAGTTGGGCAAATAACTTAATTAAAGTGATTATCCATGATCATCAGTTACATGGATTAGTGTCATGTAAGATAATCAATTAACCAAAATTAAGATTAATTTGATTAACATCATGAAAATGATCAACTAGTCAAAGTTAGTGTATCCAATTTTTACCATTTTCTATTATTCCAACTATCTATGTAATCAAAATAGTTCCAGTATAATTTCTCATTATTACTTTTGATTAATTCAAGGTTGTTCAACTTTATTGATAAGTGTTAAAACTCATGAAAATTAACAAATTAAAATTGAGAGATTTAAGTTATTACTACTTTTGGTTATTCCAACTATTTTAATTTCAAACAAAATGATGGTATCATTAATACTCACGTCAATGGCAGAAGAACTAGCAGTATAGCTTTCTCATGAACATGCCATCCATACAAAAATGATCCAAAAGCACACAATATCACAGAACGTAGAAATAACCAGGGGTTACCTGGTTTTTGCCACAGGTTCCACAAGGCTGGCTAAAATACACATAAACTATAGTCACAGACACATAGTTACAGTTGCAATAAAATTTTGTTACTTATGTAGCTCATTCTGTTACAGCAAACAGTCCCGTAAACAAACTTCTGAAAATAATTGACACCAGGTCTTATATAAAGCCTAAATTATTAAAAGAATGTAAAATGGAACTGAAAATTGATCTATTTAAAAGTTAAGCATTCTGTAAGTTAAAAGTCTATTAACTAACTATTTTACCTGAAACCTTCAGTGTGTTTTTACTGATATACGCTTCTAGTAATAATAATACATACAAGGATTGAAAGAATAGTTAACACCATAGTTGTAGTAGGTGCAATGGATGGTAAAATCACATGCTCATATTCCTGGACAAGACCTCCTGTCATTGATGCACTTTGGTTCAAGTTTTCTGTTTGAAGATTCAGTCTTACTGCTGTTGAAGAAAATAAGATAAGTAAGTTACTCCCTGGTTTGGGAATCCATATTACCAATAATTAATAACTAAAAATTAATAAAATGGCCAATACTTTCAGAATTTATTTCAAGTTTTACAAGTATATCAACAGTAATATCTTCGTATGTTTGATGTGTTGCAGGTTGCACCTCAATATTTTAAAGCAGTATTGGTTTAATGAAATAACCAATTTAAAAATATAAAACATATTTAAATAAATTATAATACCATTTCTTACAATCAAGTTTAAAATTGTGTATTCAAAATATCAAATTTATATTTGTTACTTTTTTAATCTCTCAACACCATACATTAGTGTGTTGTCTGTCAGTCATTCAGTAGACACTAAAATGACATCACATAAGGGATGCTTAACATTGCAATTTGTACTGTTGTGACATCAGTAAAATGTACACATGCCATGAATCACGAGAAGAATTATGCACTCTGTAGACTACAACATAGCATGATATACGAGTTTCAAAATCAAGAAATGAAAATATTTGTTATCCTTAATTTTGGTTATATTTACTCTTGAAACGGAACACTTTCAGGGACCCTGGAGAAATACATCTAGTTAATAATATATTTTTTTATTTTATCTCAAGAAGTTTGCTTACAATTGTGTGTTTAAATGTCATTTTAAGTAATAACTAAATGTTCTTAAATATCTATACAGAATATATATTTACTAGTATATTTCAATAAAGATGTTCAACTTCTCACTAAAATATATCTTTTCTGGGCTATTTCTTAAAACTACATGAGGCATTATTTATTTTGGATTTTAACAAACAATAAGATCACTCAAATTCAAACAAATGTAGTTCAAACCATCACACAGTCAATGATTACCTTGATAGCCTCTAAACTCTCTTTAGCAGCTGAACAGAGTATCAAAATACAAATGTCATATAACATATATGAACAACCTTTCAATTTGCAATTGAATAAAATTTCTAAGACAACCCAACAGTAACAGTTTTATTCTATGCCAAGTAAATGAAGTGGATCAGCTTATAAACTTAAGAAAAATGACAGTGAAAGAATAATGGCCAGTTAAGCGAGACATAAACCCATCCAAAATAAATTTTTGGCAGTTAAATGGCTCAATTGTGAGAAAATACATTAATTTCGATCTCTTGCTGATATTAATTAAGGTAACTTTTTACATCTACTTCAGGTTATTTCTATCCCTACGAGCTAAACAGTACTGAAGAGAGACTGAAAATTGTTTTTCTCTCTTGGTCATAACTGTTTAACCCTAAAATTACCAATGGATTCATATGGAGTGCACCACTTTTTAAACTATTTAGGCTCCAAATTGCTTGTGGGTCCATAATTTTTGTTGATTATAGGGCCCCTAATAACATACTAGTAACATAAAAAAAACTTGATCAAAAATACTATCAATATTACAATTACCCCTCTAAAACTTGGGCCAGTTCTTTACCAAATATATAAAATTACTCCACCTGTAATGAATAATATAAAAACAGGGTCATATGTACTATAACTTTTCTTCAAATTTACTTCTTTCCATTTGCTTATCACTAATTGAATTATTTCTATTTTCTAAAGTTTTCAATTTCCAAACCCAAAACTTACAAAAACATGCAAGAATGATAACTTCCTACCTATTGATTTTATAAAGTGTCTGACCAAATAAAGAAGTTATTCCAACAATACTTAAGTTAACTTGTCAATATGGAACCATCTCAGTGTTTGAAGACTCAAACAATAATGGTCCAGTGTGGTATTGCTGGATGATTAAACGTTTAGACCAAATTTAGGACATTTTTTATCATAGTTACTTTTATTATTTATTTTTAATGATGTACACATGTCTAATTATCAATATTTAGTTATTTTGATAGAAGACATGCAAGTAGGTGACCAACAACCTTTGATGAAAGTAATGGCTTCCCAAGTAGAAAACTTAAAAAAGAGAAAGCACCCAAGTTAAGTGCAATCAAGAGAAAGCACATAATAGCAACTGTTACAAAAAAATAAAAACAACCTTGAACACAGCATTACAAAAACAAAATCAAAGGGTGTAAAAATAAATTTTTCATTATACTTTTTTTTTTCTCATTAACTTCTTGATGTATGAGTAATAATATCAGTATTCAAATATTTTTCTCATTTATGTCTTGATATACCAATTAGCAACATAATGATATTTCAATGATTCAAAAATTGTTTCTTATTTATTATACCTACAATACATTTATTCTTTAGATGAGTTATGAAGCAAAAAAATGACACTTCCATCAAGCTGGAATAGTTAAGAAAAAAAAACCTTTTATGAGCAACCATACTTGATGGTATATAAATTATACTTCTTGAGAATGGAACTTCACACATACCAGAAATTAGAAACTATAAAGAAATTACTCAGGTCTTAAAAGAAGCATTTATATATTGAAGACAAAAACAAAAGAAAAGAACATCACATTAAAAAGTCAATAATACCAAGGAAAACCTTTTCAAGTAATAACAAACTGTCCTGTATCTCAAATGAACAGGTAAATACAACTTTTAAAACTTTCTAAAGTGCAAAACAAATGATCCAAATATAATAAAAAAAGTCTAAGCTAATTTGAAAACTATTAGATATAAAAGAATACTTAAACAAACAAGACTTGAAATATCTTACGAGTTGAGTCAAACTGACATTGTTAATTGTATGAATATGACATAAGCCTAATGTTTTGGGACAACAAAGGCCCTATAGGTCCATCTCGGCTGTCCCAACTTCTAAATTAAACTAAAACTATTAATAAATATATAAAAATAAATAAACAATCTTAAAGCAAGCCCTTATCATTCATATACTTATCAAGCTTTCTCTTAAACCCACTTAAATTTACTGCATCCACAACATCCAAAGGCAACCCATTCCAAAGGCCAACCACCCTGTTAGGACAATAAAACAGTTTTAGCTGAAGATAATCCTGCCAAAATTTATATTTATGTGCTCTAGTCCTATTATTCTCACTGTTAAGTATGAAAAAAATGATGCATCAACACTATCAATTCCCTTTACAATCTTAAACACCTCAATCAGATCCCCTCTAACTCCTCTTTTTTCAAGAGAAAACAAGTTTAGAGATTTCAATCTTTCTTTATATTACAACTCCTCTATCCCAGGTATCATTCTAGTAACTCTTCTCTGAACCCTTCTCAACATTTCAATGTATATCCTAAGGTAAGAAGCTCAAGAGTGAACACAATACTACAAATGTGACCTAACCAGTGACCTTTATTCCTTATCAATCTCCATATGTTACTAGTAGGTTCCTTGACTAATTGGTAAAGAAAGCCATCTTGAACAGTTTCCAAAATCCTTTATCCTTCATGGTTTACTCTAGCATTTCTCAATCTATATGCCTGAAATTAAAATCACCATAATTATGACTATATTAACAGCTGAAAACTTAATCTTATTGTAAAGTTTCTTACTAATTTCATTAGTATCATCTGTTGATCTCTAACAAATTCCCATTAAATGCCTTTTCCCTATATATCCTCTAATAGAAACCCAAAAGAGTTCAATCTCCTTACTATTATCTTTGATATCCTCAACTTCAACAGGATGCAACTCACAGTTTACATACAAAACCACTCTTCCCCTCTCTTTAGTAATCTATCCCTATTAAAGAGCCTGCAACCCTGTATTTCAAAGAAATTTCTGTCATCAAAATTGTCTACATTTAACTATGTTTCAGTAATTCCCATTATATCAAAATCCTCCATTCCTACAAGTGATCTAAATTCATCTATTTTATTTCTTATACTTCTATTATTACAATAGTAACAATTAAGGCTACCTTATAACTACTTCTATACTCAATTCATATACTAATTTTTTCTCTGCCTCTTATTAGTTTGGCTTTTAGTTTATCCTGGTCCACACCTGCCTAGTCTCAGTTCAAAATTTCCCTTACAGCTGAGTTAATAGCTCGTGCAATATCTTATCCAATATAAATGCAAACCATCCATTCCAAAAAGCTTCATTCTTTGATCTCACAAGTCAAACCAGCCAATCTGCTCATCCTTACATACTAACCTAAGCCCTAGTAACCTACTTACAACTTCATCCCACAATTAATTCTGGGCAGTATCCCTGACAAAATTAAGTTATGGTCTTTTTCTTTAAATGCCTTCATCAACCCCTTGTACTTAATAATTAGCTCCTCTGATCTACCTTTCCTTACATCATTAGCCCCCTAAGTGCACAACAAAAACTGCATCTCTACTAGCCCCCTTCCTTATACCTCCTGCTCCGTCAATCATATCCTTCACCTGTGCCCCTGGGTAGCATAATCTAATTATTTTCTCCTTATTAGCCCTACAGACTCTCCTATCCACATGCCTTATCAAGGAATCACCTATAACTATAATCTCCTTAAGTTTATCAAGTATATCCTTCTCTGACCCTTTTGTTTTCCTTCCCACCAAAACAGTTTCTCGTCTGCAGAAGCCAAGGGCTGAAATCTGTTGCTCAACAGAATAGGCTCATTATAACTAAATCAACTACTTTTAGCCCTAATAGTACTCTTTCTAACTTCCTGAAAGTCATTGTTAGTTGATGTATTCCTTGCATGTAAAAGTTTAAGCTCCTCTTCAAATCCTGCTGCCATTTCCCACAGTCAACACTTCTATTTATCTATTGCCTTTGCTTTAATTAGGATAGCCTCCAACCTGCAAACTCTACATAAAAATTGCATATCATCACTACTAGCTTCCTTAAAAATACACGTTATCTTTAATTATACAGAACCCAGAAATAGAACTGTATTAGAAGCGACAATAACTAGTCTTTACTTTGATGTATGTAATGTTAATAATACAATGTTCTTAGCTTGACTTGTATTATAACCCACCTATAACTATAATTTGAATTTAAACTAATGGATCCAAGTTCAAGTAAACAAATTAATCCTTAAAACACAAGAAGACAATAAACTAGTCTTTAGATTGTATCTATTTAATAAATCAATGTATTAACCTGTTTCACGATTTACCAGTATATGATAATACACAGACTTTTAACAAGTTTTTTGCAGCCCATATGCTGGAGAGTAAAGATTTTCATAACAATCTGGGTTCTTTGAGGATTATACGAGATAGACATCACATAATTCTACTTCTATTTAAGAAAAACACCTGTCAGCAGCTGGAGACACTATACTCTAATAAGTGTGTAGTAAAACACTTCATATCAAAAAACACAAAAATACCAATCCTGCAAGTTTTTGAGTAAATATTTTACACAGATCTTTATGTGAGTCTATCAGTTACTATAATCAAAACATTAAATTATTCCTTGCATAACCATGAATTTTTCCAAAGAAATGTTATATTATACATGTAGATGTTACACAAAAATTTAGTTTCATTTTCTTTCCTTATATACTTTTCTATACATGTAGTGACAAACTTTCTTAAAGTTATGTAACTGTACCACAAAATAAGTGAAATTTCCTGAGCAGTTTATCTGCAAAGTTATTACATAATTTCATATTAACTTAATTACCTCAATACTATAATAATAATAAATACACTTTTTGTGCTAACCTCCAATATATGCTGCTTTGTCAGCAATGTTATACAAGGCCCAGAAATTAGGAGCCCAATATGCATGACTCAAGCCTCGCTTGAAAGGGAAAAGTCGAGATAACACTTGAGGAAGCTGTCCCTGTGGAAAAAAAAGAAATTCTCCATTCTCCAAACAAAAGGTTTTACAATAACAGTTCTTTTAATACTAAAAATTGTTCAGAAGCTAATTAAGCCTTTCTATGCTGCTGGTATTTTCAGTTTGTTTTAAAAGCACTAACTATTAGGTCATCAAGATATTAATGTCGCATTTTGGAACACTTTCATTAACCACCCCCCAAAAATTGTACATCACATATAATAGTGAAATGAACCACCTAAACGTCATGTTAGTGTAGCCTATATAATGAGTGAAGTTTAGTATACTCTAATCTCTTATAGTGATGGCACACAACGAGACACACATTCGGCAAGTAATGCTATTTGAATACAAGAAGGGAAACAATGCCTCTGTAGCCACAAAAAATATCAAAGAAGTTTATGGAAATGTTTTGAACATTTATAAATGTCAACGATGGTTCAGCAAATTTCGTTCAGGTGACCTTAGTCTTAAAAACTGTGATGGCAGGGGCTGACATATTGGAACTGATATTGATGCTCTGAAGATGCTTGTTGAGTCTAACCCAAGGCAACACATGTGAAATGTCCCTGAAATTGAATATCTCTCATGAAACAATATGTAAACATCTAAGGAACATGGGAAAACGGAGTAAAGAAGGTGTTTGTGTGCCTCACGAACTATTTGATGATTATTGTTTCTAACGTGTGAACTTTGCTTTATCTCTTCTGACAAGTAATGCATGTGAACAATTTTTGGACAGAATTGTCACCGGTGATAAAAATTGATTCTCTATGCGAATATTAAATGCCAAAAACAATGGCTCAGCCTGGGACAAAAACCACTTCTGACCCAAAACCTGGACTTCATCCACAGAAAGTGATGCTTTGCATTTGGTAGGATATCAAAAAAGTAATTCATTTGGAACTGCTCAATCTACAGCAAACTGTCAATGCAGAGATCTATAGTAAGCAACTGGAACATTTAAATCAAGCCCGTCATCAGAAATGCCCTTCACTCGTCAATCGGAAAGGTGTTCTTCTCCATGACAATGCATGTCCACATATGGCACGTTTGATGCAACACAATATTATGGAGTTGGGTTGGGAAGTTCTCCCCCACCCACTATATTCTCCACATATGATACCATCAGATTATCATCTTTTTCGTTCACTGCAACAATATCTTAATGGGAAACGTAAGCAAAATGTGGAATGTGTTAAAGAGGACATTGACATGTTTTTTGCTTCAAAGCCAAGAGATTTCTTTAATCAGGGCATTGACATGACTGTAAGATCGAAAAGTATCATCGATAAGAATGGAGACTATTTCATTTAATAAATATTTTGTTTTGATATATAAGTTGTTTGGGTTTTTTTCATCTAAACAAAGCGACATTAATTTCTTGATGACCTAATATATAAATTGTTACAATGCTTACAGGGTTCTCATTAGGAGGCAGTGGTTATCAAAATTCACTAGCAACTTTGGAATTTATTGTAAAGAATTAAAATAATTCATTGAACTTTCCTTAGAAAATAAATAGTTCAGACAGGATTCACACAGTTCATGAAAATCTTGAAAAGTCACAAAATTTTATAAACAAGTTTTTTAGTACTAGAAACCCTGGAAAATAAATGGTTCTTAACACAAGGTCTTGGAAAAGTCCTTAGAAGTTTAATCCCATCACTCCAACATACCTCAATTTTATAGCTTATAAACCATATCATTGTATTTAACTCAGTTTCATGAAAAACAAGATGTAAAAAATGAAACTTGAAAAATAGGAATTTCTCTCAGTTGGTAACACTCTCAGCACTAGGCTTTGAAATATGTACTACTATTTGAAAGTGAACAGGTGTCATATGACTATTATTGGAATGTTAATGTTAATGCAAAATAAGCCAAAGACTTGTTTGGTGGGAATGAAAAATCATAAAATTATTTACAGGAAAAAGAATAGTTTCATCTTCAACCTAAACATGAACATAACTAATATTTTTTGCCTAATGTTTCATTATTAACTGAATAAAATTTGTTAATGAAAAATGAGAAATGGAACTCAAAATGGCAACAACAGAATGAGTGCCATAAACCAAGTGGCTGTGTATGAAATAGTGAAGTATATGCCATTAAAGACATTCCACCAGCTTATAACTGAAGAGGTCACCTGTTACTTATATAATGATTGATTTAGGTTGGGATATTATGAGTGACATTATGGACCCAATTACTAAATATTTCTAGAACAATCATCTGCTTATAAGGGAGAATCAGAACTATAAATACAGTATTGTGGTGTATGTTATTAATATTATCTTGGTTCTTTATGTTCTTATTAGTTTTTTTCTTTCAGGTCTACAGTGAAAAACTGTGATACTAATCCACAAGGTTTCCAATTCTTTGTTAGGTGGAATTGCAGCAATAAACTGACAATATTTTTAGATATAATAGAAAATCACAAGATATACAAAATGTTAATGCTGTGCATCAATATGAGTGGCTTCAGTTACAATAAGGTGTGCACTTTGGCTCTGTTGGCTTGATAGAAACAGTGATGTGTTATGACATACATTCAGAGCCAATGAGGTATAAGTTGATTTTTTATGTTCAACAAATATTATTTCATTTTGGTTATACATGAGAGGAGTTTTTAGCTCTGGCCAAATAATAGCATTTGGGGGAAAGCAGCAAGGCTTTATCAAACTGAAGGTGGGAAAATTTGAAGTATACTTATGGACCTGTAATTTACAAAGAATTTATTAGTACTTTGCTCAGTAATGCATGGTCATTTTGAATATTTCTTAATGGCTTATTTAATTTTTTATTCTATTTTTTAAAGTATTTTATCAATAACTTAGGTTACAAAAAAACAACAATAACACATCAGCATAATAATGCACAAATAATTAAAGAATTAGCAAACCATAAAAGAACATGACTAGTTTTAACAGGCCATGCTTGTCACACTGATTAAACTATGGAATCAAAATTATGTCTTTCACATTGTGTTTAATTAAAAGTGACTTGTATGAACTATTGTTATATACCTAGAGAGAATTTGATGTCTAATTTGAATCCGAGTAGTTAAACATGACTGTTGTAACTATGTCAAGAAAACCTGAATAAATTCAGAGCTCAGATAGCTGGAAAATGGTCTCTGTGAAGATTAAAATTAAAAAATTTCATGGGAGGGACATCCCCAGATCCCTTTCCTTACATGCACACAAATGTCATCAGACAGGTCTAATACCACTAGCATGTCATGTCAGTTCATTACCAGAGGAAGAAAATGAACCAAAGCATGTTGTACCACCAGAAGCTCCTAGATGATGATATTGTAAGATATTTTGATCAGAGACCATTTTCTGGAAGCCTCCTGATGATTTACCCAAGCTTCCCAACCATAGAGAAAAGCATCTGTGAGCAAATGCAAATCTGATTGAGGTGGAGGAAACGGTAATTGCATTGTTGTCCTTGTTCAACTACCAATGCAGATTGTCTGTAAGAAAAGGAGGAAAGGTAATTTGGGAGACTAAGGGATTCTGAGCAAGACACCATTGAAGAGAATGTATATGTGCCCACTCCAAAGGAATAAGGGCTTTCAGAGAAGTCCAAGTCCCCAAAAGTGACAGAACCTCATGTGCAGAAACAGAGGGAGCATAAGTGTATGGAGAACTGAGAGCTCCATTGAACAGAGACGAAGTGGAGAAGATTTGATCTGAATGAGGAGGGTGTTAAAACTATACCCAAGAGGATATGATATAGGATAGGCAAAAAGACTTCTCAAACTTGAGGATACAACCAACACACGGTGCATCTATAAGCAGCAGATATTTTTGTTTAGAAGACTCCAGTTCAGAATTAGCTAATAGGAGCCAATCATCCATACTGTGGTGTAAATGCAACCCTCAAACATCCATAAGTCAGCAAAGGTCTTGATCACCCAATAAATACATGTGGTGCTGAATGAAGCCTGAAAGGCTAGGCATGAAACTGATACACAACCCCATAGTGGAAAAACCAAAGATACCGTCTGAACAGATGAGAAAGAGGAAAATCAAGATAAGTAATCAACACGTCTACCATGGTCATCCACAGTCCTGGAGAAAAAGCCCACCTGAGTGTGATAAAGGACTCCATGGTAAATCGGTTGGGGCATGACAGATGGATTATTGGACACCAGTCATCCGAGTTATTCTGTGGAGAAAAAAAAGCCTGGAGACAATGGTGGTGGGGATAGAAAATGGAGGCTTAGAAAAACTGGGATCACCCAAGAATTTGTAGTGAATACCCACCACAGGGGAACAAAATCAGCCAAATGTGCCCCCAATGGACAGGAAAAGACCTGATAGTTACTAGAACTGCTAGTGATGATGAATCTGATATTAAGACACACAGCAAAATTTTGAAACCCTAGTGGTCAGAACTGGTAATAGACGGGAGGTTGCAGGACAAGAAACTATTATGGAAGAGGTCATGGGATCAGAATAAGAGAAACCAAAGACAAAAGTGTCGAATGTGGTCTCATAGATTCCACACAATTCCAAATTCAGGAAAACATCCAAAACATACCGAGGGAGAAAAGGAGTGATCTGTAAGTCATGAAGATAAGTGGAAGGTATACGAACCTGTGACAAGACAGCATCCTTCCAAATAAGATCCCAACACCAACAAAACCATGTGTGAAGGAATAGGGCTGAAGAGGACATTTGCATGAATGTGAAGGTAAGGAGGGAAAGATATTGTCTAAAAACCCTTCAGGGGTCCAGTGGAATGCCTCAGAAAGTAGATGTATGATGGACAAGTACTGTAGGAGAGCTGTAAGGGTAAGATGAAAGATGGAACAAGTCATGAAAGAAATTGAGAGGGTTTTCAGGGATAGCTCCCCACATTGGCAAAAGTGACTCCAACAGGTGGAAGCCCAGAAAGGGTTGATCAGCTGGCTAATAAGCCAAAGCATAATGATACTAAGCCCATAGAAGACGAGGCATGCTAACACCACCCCACAACTGAGAAACAAAATGCTCAGCATGAACCTTGATGTCAGGGAAAAAGAGGTCTCTAAATATGAGTGTCGGGTGTCAAAGAAGTGTCAGTATCATATGAAATCTGTGAAAACAGAACACACCCAAGAAAGCATATCCAAAAATGCAGAGTTAGGCCTAGTACATTCCTGAGGAGAGGCCTGTGTAATGGCACTCAAAGTAGTGGTAAAAATATCAGAAGTTGTAAAACACAAACTTTAGAATTCATCTTAAACTGTGAAGAAGTAAAAAAATGATAAACAAAATCAATAAACAAGGATAAATTATTACGAAAAAGTACTAGAGAAAACTAACTGAATGAATAAATCAAGTAAATCACTATTTTGCAAGAAAAAATTAAATGAACACATAAAAAGAGCACAAATGAAAAATTTCTGCACTTGATCACTGCCTAACGAGAAGTGATAGTTCAGTAAAATCAAATAAAAGGAATTATGTGTCAGGAGGGTGTGTCACGCTCCTATTGGTGGAAGGTTGTCAAACGATGATTTACGTGTGAGATGCAGCTGAACCATGTTGATCATGGGGTATTGTGGGAGTTCAAAGCTTGTAGCATGCAAAAATTTTTTGCATATAGAGAGCAAGAATGGCTATACAATGGAGTGGAGATTTTGTAGCATTTCAGAAACAGTAAAATAAACAATCTCTTTATGTGGGTTATTTGTCAACATTAAATATGGAAACTTAGCATCTAGTCCAGATGGGAAAACTGGTATTATTGAAATCAAATGTTCCAAAAAGGCCATGAAAATAATTCCAGTTCAAGCAGCATAAAAAATAAAAGATATTTTGTACTAAAATTGAAACAGCATTGCTCTGAAACAAAATCACAATTATTTTGATCAAATTTAAAGACAGCTTCAAATTACAAGAAGATATTTCTTCCATTTTTGGAGTGTGGAATCATGTAGAGTGTCTGTACAACACACTAACAGGGAAGAAGAGTTTTGAGAAACTATTACTTTTGTCAGCATGACTTTTTAGTTAGTATTTAGCTAATTACTTGTTGAAAATTACATTTTCTTTTTCTGCTTTTAAAATTAAAATACCCAAGTAGATTTTAGCAAGAAACATAAAAAATCTTGACATCTCTCCATTAATACATTGTTTGTGATTAAGCATACATTTTCTTGTTCAAAGTACAAGACCTTTACATTATTCATTATGACAATATAACACTAAGCAGACATTTCATATAGAATACGTTTTTTTTCTAACCAAAATAACAATGCACAAGTAGCTCAAAATTTACATTTTGTTGAGAATATATTTTATTTTATCCTAAAACTTGGTAGATGCATTGTATACAATAATAATTATACATTTAACTGAACATTTATTTTGAAGGTTTTTGTACAGTTACAAGTGCTTAGGAAACAAAATAAAATAAATTTTGTCAAATTTTTTTGAAACGCAGTATTAGTTTAAAGACACCAAGAGAACAAAATAGAGTATTGTGGTAATTTAAATCTACTTACCAAGTAAATAAATGGTCCAAATGATACTCCAAATACTAAAATCACAACTAAAGCAAGTTTAATGAAGTTTAGCAGTGAAATCCTAAACCCTAAAAAAAAACAAGAAAAGAAAACTAAATAAGCTAAAATAACTTACTCATAAACTACACTCTCAATTCATAAAAAATACAGCTGTCATACTTAATATTAAAAAACTTCAAATATCAACTAATGAAAATAAATTCTCTTTAATTAATAAAATACAATAAAGAACTTACACTGTGGTCTTGAATATTGTTTTAATGTGACATATATTTCAGAACAATTTCATTACAAAGTTTTAGATTTAATGAGCACCTATTTTGAATTACAAGTGCACCTAAGAGTAGATATGATGTACTAAAAACAAGAGGGAATTCTCAATAGCCATGGCACTTGCAATCCTTTTAGACAGGATTAGTGTAAATTAATCTATGAGACCTTTTTTCCTTTTTATTAGATATTTTTTGTGTGCCAGCAATACCAAGCATGAGGCACGCGTATATCTGATTTGATTTTGATACTCTTCAGGATCTCTACCAGCCTAAACTCAAATTGAAATCTTTTAAGCAGGATTAGAATAAATTAAGCTATGAGACCTTGAGCATGGTCAAATAGATACCTCCTGAGTCCAAACTTGTAATTTGAACTGAAATCGGTGGTACACCCTTGCTTGGTAATATACGTGACTACTGTAAAGTTGTCAGAGTGTACCATTACCACTATCCCCTGCTTAACAAACAGCCATAAGCTGTAGAATGATGGTATGGAAAGAAAACTCCATGATCGACAAGGGACTGGAAATCTCCCAGGAGTCAAGGTAAGCACCACTACCCTCTAAAGATGAGTCCATGAACAGATGTAAATCCGGACGAGACAGAGGAAGTGGCACCCCCACCGTGGTCTGCTCTTTGTCTAACCACCAAGTTAAGTTGGCTTTTATCATGGAAGAAAATGTAAAAGGGTGGTCCAATGGATCCAAGAAGAAGTTCCACTGATCTAGGAGTGTCCACTGAAGGAAATGCATAAGAGCCTGACCCATGGGAATGAGAGCTTTCTAGGAAGCCCACATTCCCAAAAGAGATAAAACCTCTTGAGTGGTTAGAGAATGTGAGGTGAGGGACTTGAGAACAGCTTGCTCCATATCTTGAAGATTAAGAGGAGAAGGCTGGGTCCAACTGAGATAGGAATGAAGAAAACTCCCAAATGAACTGGGAATTGAATGGTGGTAAGTATGGACTTCCACCCTTTCATCAGGAATCCCACCTGTGCTGCTTCTTGTAGGGGCAGAAGAATGAGGTCTCTGGATTGTGAATGAGCGAGCAGTAGCCAGTCATCCATGTAAAGATGAGTTCAAAGACCTATTGAGTGAAGATGTCAGGCAAGAGCTCGTACCACCCAACACTTAAAGAGCCAAGGTTAATCCAAATGGTAGGGCCCTAAACTGGAACACTCGATTTTGAGCAATAAATAACTAGAGATGATGTGGGCACTGTGCGTATGAACTTCAAATTGTAGATTATAAAAAGGAAATTTGGTTTCTAGTGTCAAGAATGTAGGAAAAGGAGCCAAATCAAAGCTCAGCCCTACGAACGGAAAAGAAATGAAAATGTTTGCGATGTAGCAAAGCAAAAAGAAAAATTAAGTCATAACCTGATGAAAAGTAGGATTATAAGGCACATAGTTAACAATGATAAAAACAATTTATCCAGATAGAACAATGAATTAGATGTTACTAGTTGTAATGATATGTAATGTACAAACTATCAAAACATACCTGGTTAATAAAATATGTAATAATAATGAACATGCACACTAATGAAAATTACTGAGAAAATAAGGTAATAATCAATATCTGACTTACAATTTGTCTAAATTAACTTAGACAACAAAGGATGCATATGTAAGGCCAACACTGACGATAATTAGGATTATAAGGTACATGTTTAACAATGATGAGAAATAAAAGTTAGTCAGATAGAACAATGAGTTAAATGTGACCAGTAGTAATGATATGTAACTTACAAAATATCTAAACATACCTAGTAAAAGTACTTATTAATATTAAACTGACAAACCCTCAAAATTTACAGTGTACAAGGTATGTAATATTACCAAATGTGCAAAACAACAAAAATTACCTAGAAAAACAAAGCAATAAACAATATCTAACTTACAATTCATCTAAATGAACTTAGACAAAAAAGACACATAAATATCTATCTTACCTAAGTCAGAGCACTAATGACATGAAATATTTAAATCTCCTGTGTGTAAAGAAGGACAAAGCCACACAAAGGGCTTCTGAGCAATGCCTACCAGAGCTATATCCACCATGTGTGAAGTGTACAAGTTGGAAAACTTACCACAAAGCCACTGGGAGAACTGGAAGCAATATGAAAAAAGGAGGAGAAGAACAAACCTCCACCAAAGTGAACAACAACAAGGCAGCAAGGCAACTGGGGCAGGAAAAATAAAACTAGTGAAAACACTCATATCTCAAACATACAGCAAAACCAGAGTATGCAATGACCGATGACCTTATTAAGTAGTGGTATAAAAAATAAAACAGAAAAATTTCTGGAGAGGTGTAGATTAGAACAGATCAAAATAAAAAGGTGCCAGAAAAAGAGAGTCCACAAAGACTTCTCCTTGACTGTATCCTACCTCTTAAACATTGTCAAGTTTAAAAGAATTAGAAATTGCCAGTCAAATATATGAATCTAGTTCCCTGTGAATTTAAGTCTGTACTTCCTCTGCAAATAAAGTCAAACCCGATGCCTGGGAAGTCATACCAGTAGCGTTTTCAAGGGAAATGGGAATTTCCATAGTTGATATATTGAATCACGCATTCATATTAAGATCTGTTATAATTTGGTAACATAACATAATTGTTGAAACAACAGAATGCAAACACAGTAAAACAAAACTGTTGAAAAATAAAATTTGAAATGGCAAAGAAGCACAATCATGAATGGTAGTCACATGCAAAAAAAAAAACACATCTAACAATGCTATGCCCTTTGAGAAACTGAGAATTGAGTGAAAATAGCAGAGAGCTAGCTGCACCAATATAGGTGGCACAATTCTATTGGTGGGGAGTAGTCACATGCTATGTATGTTTTCAATACTGGCACGAAATTGGTGAGGTATATCGACTGGTGCATTGAGCATGAAAATGTTTTCTGCAATGCTTAGAGGGCAGAAAGAAAATAGAAATAGTTTTGTTTGAGAGGAACTCTAATGCTAACAGATATTCATCACACTACATAAATATTAATGGTTGATCTCATTTTCTTTCAATAATCAGTGCTATTGTTAATTTCCAGCACTCAGTTGTATAAGTTAATCAAAATAAAATTATGTGCTAAACTGAATTAAAAATATATCCATAAAAAAACTTGAGTAACAAACCTTTAGTCTCCCGAATGAAGCAGTAGCTTCGTAGAAGGTATACAAAATAAGCAGGAGCAACATACAAATATATGTGTTTCAAGTTTAACAAGATGGCAAACCAAAAAGCTCCTTCTACACATCGATCCTGTAAAATAATTTTATGTCAAACATAAAAGTTGTACTGGATTATATTATATAACATAGTGCTTACTTTAACTGAACTGGGTTAAGTATCAGGGGCTTGATTATTAATACAATTATGAAAGTAAACTTAAAATTGAAAATTTTATTTTAACACATATGAGAGCAACAAAGCATGAAATTTTGGATGGATATTTAGATGAATAAATAAACTAAATAGACCATCAAACCTAAGTGATCTGGATTAACTGATTTTGTGCTAGAGGTTTGTCTTCTAATCTTAAATATTTATAACCACATTAACCTTAGATTTTATAATACTGTACTGTTTTCTTCAAGAAAGAGCTTTTTAAGATTATATAGGCCTCTTTGAAAATAATAAAAAAGTGGAAAATAGCTTTAAAATATTAACTCTGAAAAGGAGAAAATAATTACAGAAGTCTAGCATTGTGTATAAATCCCTATAACATGGGATATTAATTATAAATCATTCATAATGAACTATACCATTGTTTCAACTAAATCAGAAAAATATATTCCTCTTTTAGTGCTATTATATTAAAATTATTTTCTAAATATCACCTTTTCTTTTTTGCAAAATAGTACTCATTAAAATACACAACATACAATTTTTGTAGTTATCTCAGTCTAGGAGGCTTTGTTGAGTGCATAAACAAAGCAAAGCTTAAGCCTCATATTAATGACTTGTTTATATATCATTCACTACCAGTGGGTCCACACACTGCATCATATTAAATATATATATATGTCTAAGGGTTAAGAAATGACCAAAGACATTGGATTAAATCACCCATTTCCTACATAAAATATATTGGAGATAATGATTACAATTAACTGTAATATTAATGGTATTTTTGTTTGTTTGACTCAAACATTATTACAGTCCAAGAAATCAACAAAGTCATGATCCAGCAGCAACTTGGTGCATAAAAAGTTTGAAAAAAAATGGACTCTATCAGTAATTCTATGGTTAATTCCATATTCACTTGTACCTGCAATGATAAAATCACTGATACCATTAATGAGTACTGTAACTCCACCCAAAAAGGAGTTACAAGGTGTTTTTCTAAAAGCAAACTTTATGAACAATGTATAAATATATATATATACACATAGATATTATAATCAATAATTAAACATGTAAAACAAGGCACAATCAAAATGTTGATTAACAACCTAAACCTTCTTTTTTTACTTATTTACTGTCCCTAAACTGTCCAGTTGGTTGTTTGGCATTTTTTGGCACAAAGCAACTAAGCTATCTGTGCCAAACTGTTCAGTCATCAAGTATTTATGGTGATTTTTCTTATTTGTAGCATATGGTACAAATATGGGATGACCTATTTCCCCTTGATTGATATTTGCTGGCTTGTTATTGGGAGGAATTTTCATCAGGTAGATAGTCAAGGGAATCTACTTGTGGCTCCATCCCTGGTGATAATTTGGAAGTAATTTTGATAAGAACCTTAAACTTTCCAGGATGTTGATTCACTTCTGGCCAAGTTTTCTTTCAAGCTAACCATTTTGCAATTATTTCTCTGGTGTGATTGTAAAGACAATAACAATGGAAAATGTTTTGAGTAGACCAGGTCTTTTTTTTGGAATTTATTCTGTTGCACTTTTGTTTGGTTATCTTCATTATCTCATGTTTTCACCCTTTTGTTACTGGTAGTTCAATCACTAGCAGTGTAATTATGCAGTGCACAGTTAATTCCTGGTCAGAGACTGTGAATCTATTCCAAGTTAGTCTAATGTCACATATGTGTTTCTGCATGAAGTTTATTTCCAGTATAAACAATTTCTCTTTTTACCATTTGTCTATAAATTATGTTGTGCAGAGAAGATATTCACTGAGAGGATGATTTCTATATTTCCTCTTCTTGGAACTTTATGACATCTTTATAGGTAATATCCTAGCTTTCATCACCACACCAGGTCAAATAATGGTTACTGTACAACCAGTGTCAATCAACTTGAAAACATGATTCCAATTAGTCAAACCATTCAGTACTGGATTGTTTTCTCTGAATAACACACTTCTTATCTCAGCTGAGGCAAGTGGATTATTCTCTTCTTCATGATATAATCTCCTTGGCTTATTATTAATAACTGTAATACATGTAATGTTCACGTTTACCACACTTGTAAAATTTGATTTTTCTGTCATCCTTTGAGAGCAGTTTCTATTTTCTAAAGGCTTTTGTGTGCAGTTCCCAGTGATATGCCTTTTTAAGTTACTGTTGAAACATGTTATGTCCTGTGGTTTATTTCTTCCATTATGAATTAAATTTTTTTTAGTTCTTCTACACCTTTATCATAGAAAGTTAATTTTTTTTTACATCGTTTGATTTGTTAATCTCATAATTCCTGGATGGTGAATTTATTTATCTGCAACTTTACTTGATTCAACTTCTTTTGCCAACTTAAAAGTTTCCTTTAGCCTAACTTGCATATCCTCATAAACTATGGCATCTATGTATTGTTCTTGAGCAAACAAAGCAATCATTTCACATGGAGCAGCTGAATACAATAGCCAGTACATTTTTCCATTTCAGCAGGTTCAGCTAAGATTTCATACTTTCCCTTTACTCTAGTCATAAACTTTGCTTTAGAAACTTCCTTTCTGATGTAACACTCCTTCAACTTTATAATAACATGATTACTAATATCTGGTAACCTTTCACTGCGGTTGGGATGTATATTTCAAAAATATATTGTATGGGAAATATACGTCTCAACCACAGAGAATGGAGTAATATTGTTAAAGCTGATCCTTTTAAATGTGCAGCAACATGAGTAACCCGTTGTTCAATATTCCATGTATTCATCTTGGAAGTTATTTAAAACTCTCTGATATATCACCCATAATACATTTCTGTTATAGTCTGTTGGTTTCCTAATTTGGCAGTGTTGTTCAACTGAAATGCTAAATAGCTGAGGAAGTGATGTAGCTGGAGTAATCAAGAAAGGTTGTACATTATATGTGGCTTACCAGTAGTAGTAACAGGTGTAAACCAGATGGGTTTTCCTATTCCATTTTGTATAGTTAATGGTGTTTGATGTTTGAATTCTTAAATAGAAGCAGAGAGAAGTGTGGCTGGCTAGATCCTTGCATTTGCCAATTGAATTTCTAGATGTTTTATCTTAGCATTGATGTCCTTTCATATTCCTTTGATTTACTTGTTGTAATGCTTCTGTATTTCACGGTTACCATTAGTAATTTATCTTTTTATAATCCTTCTGAACATCTCCAATGGCTTTTAAAACTTTAATTTGTACATTTTCTATGGTTTTTACATAATTTTTTCCCAATCAAATCACAATCTTTCTTAACTTTAACATTTTGTTCTTTTAGTTCCTTTCTTAACATCCTATCTCCTTCTTCAGTCTACTTTATACTGTTTCAAGATTCCTAGAAAAGGTTTGATCAGGCTTCCTACATGTAACATCATCTTTAAGTTGATTCTTGCCTTTATTTTTACCAAAATAATCTCAATTTTGACACCAGTATTATTGGGTGGGTTCTCTTGGATTATTCAGTAAAAAGTAAAAGGCAAACTTTGGTCCACTTAATAATAACAAGTTTAATTTATTCTACTAAGTTCTAGAAATTTTACAGTTTTATATAAATAAGTCAAAACTAATGTTGACTGAGTGATAGGCCTAGCTTCATAAATAACAATAAATAGTCATTTGCTAACTTTTCTTACACATATTTCAATTTCTTATACCTCTAGTACTTCACTGAAACTCAGTATTCACAAAACTAAATTAACAGACAAACTCATCAATAAATTCTCCATTTTAATAACAAAATAATTTACTGTTGCACAACTACAACTCAATCATAATCTACTCTAACTCATGCATAATGTTGTTCAAATGACTTCCTGACCTTCAAAAAAATTCCAGACATTAACTACATGCTCATCATTAGATCTTGGTAATTAGCTGAATTTACTAAGTGATTCATCATTAGACTAATTAATTAATTACACTCAACTAATCAATTATCCTCATGAAACTAATCTTCCTATTTCCAGCATGTTATTTCTTAGACATTTTTGAACTACACTTCATTTAATATGATAGATATCCTTATGTACAGCAATTTAGGATTATATTACTTTTTAAATTTTAATCTCTTGTACTTGACAAAAGTATCCTACATGTGATTGTAGTATAAAATACATAAAAAGGTGAAAATATGATTAATACCATTTCATAGGTTTCTCACTACAGATTTTCACAAGACAACTAAAAATAAGTAAACTAATCATTAAAATAATAGATCTCAGATTTCATACGATAAAACTAGTAAATATCAGTGTGTGTGATAGGTAATATATAATTCAATGAAAACAAATTCATTCCAATCCTAGAAAAACAGACTGTACAACATTTACTATTTGGTAATAAATTTTGTGATTATATTACATACATGAACTCTTTGTAAAGATTAAAATGATCCACAAGGTAGAAATGGAATACTTATAAGAAATATTAAAATCATGGTAATACTATTTCAGCATTTTTTCTCATTTCATCATCACCGTGGAAAACTTAAGAGGACATAATAAGCTTTTAAGCAAAGTTGTTGATATGGGAAGTTAAAAATAATACATTAAAATGATTAATACATTTACATTTTATAGTACAAACAGGAAAAACTTTAGAAACACATGCATGCTGAATAATCAATAAATCAAACAAACTAAACCTCACTGTACTAGGCAGTCAGTGTTTAAGAGGCATGTAATGACAGTCAAACTTTTGTTTTCCCTTTACAATGCTTGTTATCTAGCTACAACTGGTCAAGATTAAATAGGATCCCTGTTCATGAAAATAGGTTAACAACTTAACCGTGTCATATACTGTTAGACTGTTATTAATCAAACTATAGTAATTTGTGACTAACACAGTTAAGTGAGCAAGTTATTCAAGCACCAAAATTTTTGGGCAGCAATAAAGGATGACAAATAT